AAGGTCAGTGGGGATTCAGGACATAAGAGAACCTATACTCAGTGATGTCCCAAATTTCTGATCAAGGAGATTATGGGACCAAAGAGAAAAGTGATTGTTGATGTAGAGTGTGCCTAAGGGGAGTCACATGGAGAGAAAACATTCTCTCAGGCTTTCACAGAGAGTAAGTTGGTCAAGCAATGGCCAGTGACTCATCCACATGGCTGACACTGATGAAGGTTCTACATACTGTAGTACAGGGTTTCAGGATAAATCCTGAGGGGATTTGACTGAACTTATCAGATACAAAAGTTACATTTCTTGTTATATAGGTCTTGCATTATTGTGGACTTAAGCATCCAGCAGAAAAGTATAAAAGTGATTTCTAATGAACATTTTAGTTCAGATTTTGTGTTATATTTCTTTCTTTTTTATTGATTTTTTTAGTAATTTTATTGTGAAACAGGAATGAGATAATTTCAAATCAGGTTAGTAGGACAATTATTAATTACAATAATTAATACATTGCATATTATTATCTTCATAATAGTTATTCATAGTATAAGATGCAGACGTGGTATCCTGTCCAAACAGTATTAGTACAAATCTTTCTTTTCATTGAATTAAGAAAAAATAGCTGTATATCTATCTAACTATTTTGCATATACAGATACAAAATTTTCCTTCATTTGTATACCCTTTTATTGTTTAGCTTTGTCAGAGATGTGTATTCCATTTCCATTTAAATATTGTAGGTGCGTGAATTCAGCAAAATAATCCAATATACTCCAGTAGTCCACTATAGTAGTGGGTTATCCGTAGGACTGGCAATGTCAGAATTTGTTAACTTGAGCAATTTGCAGCTCAGCATATTAATATGGCTTTCTTTTTTATACCTCGATTTTCTACTTTTCTGCTGGATGGTTAAGACCAAGATAAATCGATACCTATATAACAAGGAATGTAACTTTTGTATCTGAGAAGGTCAGTCAAATCCTCTCAGGATTTATCCTGAAACCTTGTACCGTGGTTTGTAGATCCTTTGTCAGTGTCAGTCATGTGATTGAGTCACAGCCATTGCTTGACCAAATCACTGTCTGTGAAAGCCTAAGAGAATGTTTTCTCTCCATGTGACTCTCCTTAGGCACACTCTACATCACTGATCACTTTCCTCTTCGGCTTCATAATCTCCTTGATCAGCAAATTTGGGACAACACGGAGTTACTAGGTGTCATAGTATGGGTTCTCTTATGTCCTAAGTCCTCACTGACCTTGAAAGACTAGAGCCAAAATGTTGAATGTTCTTGCAGCCTTGCTTTTTACTAATTTTTGGTTTGCAAACTTAAGTTGTAACCCTCCAGAAGAGAAGCTTAATGATATTATTACTGTACAACATAGGCAGTTGAGCTTAACCTCACTGTCTGAATATCAAATATCT